AAACTTCAGGGGTTTCCCCATTTTTCGCACAGAATTTGCATTCGTTGTTGTTTTTTATCTTCAATCACTGAGGTGTCCTAACTCCTAGAAGTCCTAGTGGCTTAGGCCGTAAAAGTAAAATACTACTACCACAATTTTCACAATAAAACGTGGACAGAAGTTCACAAAATTGTTATATCATAACTTGATTATATATCCTTTAAAAACCGCTCGGTCTAGGCAATCTATAATTTTCTATCAGTAGGGTTTCAATAAGATAGAGCTCTGATCTTCGATTCGGCTGGTAATTGTTTAACTCGGCCGATTGACCGATAGGATAAGAACGGCGACGGACACTTAACGAGATGCATTCTCTCCGATTAGCGATGGTTCGAGAAAGTCCACCCGCCGCACCGTTAGTCGCGATCCATCGACTTTTTGCTCCCCGTCGAAATATAATCTCGTCGGTTTTGTTACAGATCTCCAATTCCATTTCGAGTTTTCGACCTTTCAATTGGCGATCGAGTAGCAACGGGAAAATTATAGTTTGTGCATACGAATTTTCTATCCAAGACCAGTGGCGGAACAAGGCCATTTCACGAGATGCACAGCTTAAGTCCACGGCCGTGTGGCCGGGAATCCACGAGCTTGCCACGTTACTAATTGACATATTGATAGAAACTGCAGACCTGCCGCGTCTTTAGCGTGTTTTTATTGGACACAAATCGAAAAAAAGCGCTTAAAACGGTAAAATCGCAAAAAGCGCTTGAGACGCAAAAAACGCAAAACGCTAAAACGCTTTCTGTGTGGCCGTGGGCTAAGGTACATTCAGGCTGAGGGCGTCAAGCGTCGCGTCGCGTCCGCCCCATTGAATTAGAACCCCGACGCTCAGCGGACGCTAGCGCAACGCCAAACGAGACGTTGTCAAAACCTCAAAATTAGTGGTAGTAATTTTCAATTAACAGACAAAATTAACAAACTTTTTACACTAATTATAATTCAACATTTGTAAGTGATGTAATTTTATCGACATTAGTAATGTCCCTGCCTGCATCTCTATTTCTATCTAATTGTGAGAATCAAATTTGACACGCCCGGTATAATAAAAATTGTTTATAAGAGCAAGCTTTAAAGTTACCAAAAGCATTTAGAAAAAATACCCAATTCAGCCAACTATATTTATGATCGAAAAACAAACCGGTGTCCAGTTGGCTTGGAAATGACGATTGATGATAGTCTCCATACAATTTTACAGATAAAATGACAGCGATCTTCATTCTGACGCCGTTTTTTTTTCGATCATATTGTATATTATCTATACACATTCTAACTACCATGCTGCAACAAAAACATGCACAAAAATCATAAACACTATATATATAAATTTTAGATTATATTGTATGAAAAGATACAGCACGAAGAAGTGTCTATTGTCCAACTTAATTTGCAGATTATCATGATTTAAGTCAAAAATATAGAGTTAAGTCATAAAAAATTGTGTGTGCCCTATGTGCACATATTTGAAATGAAACTTCTTACAAATAACTATTAGATTGGAGGATTTGAAGAACATGTTTGAAATAGTGACATATAATGATGTTTTAAAATAAATAGTATTTTCAATTTATTTCTGTAATCTGTACATTTTCTGTTCCTCAATAGCCTGCAAATTTTGTGGAATACCATCCAAAATACACACTTTTTATGCAAGTGCCTAATAGTGTTAACGCTTAAATTTATGTAAGAATAGAATTTTTTTTAACCTAACCAACAATTCGTATTTATAGCGGTTTACAGTAATCTTGTTAAATTATACAAATATTCTCGTTGATTATTGGTTTGAAATAAATATGACAATGTCCTCCAATGAAAATGCGAGTTGCTTAACTCTAATAATTCTAATTCTGAGCTAGCAAATAAGCTAAATGCTTTACCGTTATCCAAAAGCTACAAACCTATCGATGAAAATATGCATGAAAATTTACTTCCTAGCACACAACCAGAGGATATTAGTACCCAGGTACAGTATCAAGTTTATTATAATGCTTTTCTTAGCTTATTCCCTTTAGGTAAAGAAAACAATTGTTCTGTATGTACAGGGTGTCCCACTAAGAATAGCTCTCGGCTATATTTCGGAAAGTATTAGTCGTAGAGCTTGCGGAAAAAAATATTTATAACTAATGAGACCATGAGAAATTGCTGGAAATCATTTTCAAGTTGTAGGATGGCCGCTAGAGGACGTAACTGCTATGGAAAATAACAAAATGGAGTTTTTACACAATTTTGTCTAGATAAGGTGTACTATAAGTAATAGCTTCATAATCTTCAGTAAATTTTGAATATTTTTTGTGAGAGCCATTTTCCCCTATTTACCAAAATAAAGTGGTGGGGAGATGTTAGATCTATTTTCATTTAAATATTAATAACTCCGGACCAGTGGCGTGCATTACATATAGGCAAAAAAGCATTGCCTACCCTTCGATTTATTCAAGACAGACGCAAAATAAAAATATATTTATCTGATCAATTTTCATTATATTTCTACCTACAAATCTTACAATGCGACCTACATTGTTTTATTTTTCTAAATAGTAAGTTAGTATTGTGTTTATTACGGTTGCAAAGCCGGAAACATCATACAAAACAAACGCCACCTGTTCAACGTCTTATTATTACCTAAAAAACGCATCCCATTATTCGAAATCGAACGCACGGCCGCAACTTAACATTACATGGATATGGACAAGCAAAAGCAGTGCGTTACCGCAGCACGGATGCACCCGATGTCTCGATCCCGCCGATGCGGTACTGTCAGTTCCGATGTTATCACAGAACTATGTAAGAAACAGTCCATGTTATTTTATATGATCAATTTTAAATAACTGTGTTTTAGAAAGATTTGTATTATGTAGCAAATTAGAAATTTGCTTGTCTGTCTTCTGTATTTGTTTCCAAATGATTTCATTTATTATTTTATTTGACTGTAAAATCATTTTGGTACATAAAATCTATTAGGCAGTGGCAATTGGCAATCTGGCAATATTGTGTACGGTTATTGTTTTAGCTAATTCGCCAGTCGTTGAGTCGCCTATCGGAAAGAAATAATGATTGAATAATAGACAGATTATTCGTTTTGCATCTACAAATAATTAAATTTATTTGCTGTTATTTGAATTTTCTTTTGTTTGAGTTTAAAGTTAAAATACGTTAGACAGTAAATTTTATATACGTACATTGTACATATATATAATGTAATACATACGTTTTTTTAGTTTTTTTCCATATTTTTGATTCTGTTGCCTACCCTACTGTAAATGGTACTGCACGCCACTTCTCCGGACTGGATGATCGGAATCCAACAAGCGAGAGCTTGTTTAATAAAGCGTTTCTTACTCTATATTGTACCATATAAACAATAATAATAAGCTTTTGAATGTAGACGCTAGGGGGCGTTGTCTTACAATTTCACAAACACTGCGCGTTTTTTCAAAAAAATTAAATGCGATAGTATATGTAATTTTAGCTGATAGTAAAGAGTAATAAAAGCTTAACAAGTCAGTGAAAACCGCATCTAGGTATTTTTTTTCAAACCAAAGTTATTAGCAAAATTATAATAAATACGAAAATATAAGCCCTTAATTACTTAATTTTTCTAACACGATATCACTAGCCCTCTTGATTATGACCATTCTAATAAAAAATAATATAAAAAAGATTATTTTATTCAAAATATCGACAATGAACCAGAAAACCATAATACTAGGTGTATTAATATCTAATAATTAAGATACCAATGACGGTGGACAAGAAACGACACCTCAGTAAATTCATGGTAGGCTTTGGAAAAAAGTTGCTTTTAAACGGATAGTTTAAAAATGAAAATATTATTATATCAACATTTTGATAGTCTCAGCAGCCTTTTTTTATCTTTTGATTGCTTTTCTAAAAATGCCTTTCTTCAACAGAGAAAAAACGCTGCTAAGACTATCAAAATGTTGATCTAATATCAGTCTAATTGATAGTTTCAGAGACATTGACGTTTATACTATTACGTCAAAAGCAACTTTTTTCCAAAGCCTACCATGACTTCACTGAGGCGTCGTTTCTTATTAACTGTCATTGATATCTTAATTATATTAGATATTAATAGATCTGGTGTTATGGTATTCTGGTATATTGTCGATTTTAGAATAATCTAATCATTTCTATCTTATTTTTTGTCAGAATGTTCATAATCAAGAGGGCTAGTAATACCGTCTTAGAAAAATAAGGTAATTAAGGGCTTACAATTTCGTATTTATTATAATTTTGCTAATAACTTTGGGTTGAAAAAAGATATTAAGATGCGGTTTTCGCTGACTTGTTAAGCTTTTATTACTCTTTACTATCAGTTAAAAATACATATACTATCCCATTTAATTTTTTTGGAAAAACGCGCAATGTTTGTTAAATTGCAAGACAACGCCCCCTAGCGTCTACTTTCAGAAGCTTATTATTATTGTTTATATGGTATAATATAGAGTAAGAAACGCTCTTTAAAATGAGCCCTCGTTTGTTGGATTCTGATCATCCAGTCCGGAGTTATTAACATTTATATAAAAATAGATCTAACCTCCCCCCACCACTTTATTTTAGCAGATTGGGGAAAATGGTTCTAACAAAAAAGATCCAAAGTTTACTGAAGATTATGAAGCTATTAATTATAGTACATCGTATCTAGGCAAAATTTCTTAAAAATTCCATTTTGTTATTTTCCACAGCAGTTACGCCCTCTAGCGGCCGTCCTACAAACTTGAAAATAATTTCCAGCAATTTCTCATGATCTCATTAGTTATAAATAGTTTTTTTCGCAAGCTCTACGACTAATACTTTCCGTGATACAGTCGAAAGCTATTCTTAGTGGGACACCCTGTATATCTTAATTAAGTACGCTGTATCTTTTCTATAACAATTAATCTAAAAGAACCAACAAACGCTAACAAAAAATAAAACCCCAGCGGAAAAAGTTAAAAAAGAGAGACCTGCGCGATGATGTTGGCCACCTTCTCCTTGTCCATCGGCGTGGAGACTCGCTTATTTTTCAGGTGGTGGGGGGTGTCGCGCCTGTGCAGTCGAGACTGTTTTCCCTCCTCCCTGGATACGCCGTCCGAGTCGCTGTGGGCGGGAACGAAGCCCACACGACGTCTGAGGAACTCCTGCGGACCAATCAGAAAAGCTGCTTTCAGTGGAGGAATTTGGCTTGCGAAAAAGTGTGGTGGAGTGAGGTTAGAAAGCGGGAACAATCTTTTTAGTAATTAAATTAATAAAGTAATATTGTCAAAGCGGAATTTAGTCAATTGTGTTATACATATTACAAATTGTTTCAACAATGTCATCTTATACAGGGTTGTTCACCACATACGACACGGAATACTGTAGCTAAACGATTAGATTTTTACAAATTGTAAGTTTTGGGTTCGTTGAAGGTGTATTAGAGCTACAATTTAAAAATATTTTTACAAGATACAGAGTGTCCCAAATAAGTAAAAAATATTATAGTTGTATTTTTTAAATGGAACACCTTGTATATTATTCTATTTTTAGATTCTACGGTTGAAATAAAGGTAAATTTGATTAAGGTTTATCACACTTGAAATATTTTCAATTTTATGAAATTGCAGTAAAAAAATTAAGGCTTTATTTCTCCAAGGGTATCAAAGTTTTTAATACTAAATATTTACTGAAGATTATTTATTGATCAGATATTGTGTTGCAATAATAAAAATTTTACTACCTTATACAGAGTGTCCAAAAATTTATATTAAATAATTACTATCTTTAAACGGCAATAACTTGTTTAATTTAAATGGAACACCCTATATATTTTACGTGAATCAGATGCACAATGTAATTGTCTATCAAATTGTATTGTTCCATTTTCTACCCATCTCTTCAAGTTTTCATAGAAAATGCATTTTCTTATAATTTAGACCTCATTTATCACTATACCCATGGAATATTGACATTTTAGCTTATTTTTAACGATGTGACAAATTTTCAAAGGGTACAGATACTAATATTGTCGATATAGTTCGCTTAGTTAATTAAAAAATAAAAATAAAACTGTTTAAATATTTTTAGAGTTTAAATATTTTTTTAAAGAGGACCAATTAATATGCGCCCAGTATTCAAACTACATTAAATTGACTGTTTACGTTAAAGTATTAACTGTTCCAAATACTAAAAAACTGAATTTTATGTGTGTATTAGACAGTGTGGTAAAAAGTAACACCTTATAAATTTTATTTCATTTATTGACGAATGCTTATTTATAAAAACAGAGACATTCATTTTCATAACTTATTATTATATTGATTTCTGAGCCAAATCCACATTTACTTAGAATAATTTATTAATTAAAACAATTTACAAGTATGTAATTAACTAACTTTTGGTGTTTTTTTGTAGGAAATAATGGTGGTATATTTAATTGGTATACTCTTTTACAAAGATTTAAATAGTTTTTTTGTATGCCAATGGGCTTGCAATATTTACCACCTGTACATTTTGTACATATTATCGTGCTATAAAAAAATCTGAAATGTCAATATTCCATGGGTATAATGATAAATGAGGTCCAAATTATAACAAAACGCATTTTCTACGAAAACTTCAAGAGACGGGTGAAAAATGGTATAATACAATTTCATAGACAATTACATTGTACATCTGATTCACGTAAAATATATAGGGTGTTCCATTTAAATTAAACAAGTTTTTGCAGTTTAAAGCTAGTAATTATTTAATATAAATTTTTGGACACTCTGTATAAGGTAGTATCTTTTTATTATTGCAACACAATATCTGATCAATAAATAATCTTCAGTAAATATTTAGTATTAAAAACTTTGATACCCTGGGAGAAATAAAGCCTTAAAATCTTTACTACAATTTCATAAAATTGAAAATATTTCAAAAACCGTAAGGTTTAAGTGTGATAAACCTTAATCAAATTTACCTTTATTTCAATCGTAGAATCCAAAAATAGAATAATATACAGGGTGTTCCATTTAAAAAAATACAACTATAATATTTTTTACTTATTTGGGACACTCTGTATCTTGTAAAAATATTTTTAAATTGTAGCTCTAATAGACCTTCAACGAACCCAAAACTTAGCTACAATACTCCGTGTCGTATGTGGTGGACAACCCTGTATATTTGACGAGACACAAAAATAATCAAAATGTTCTTTTATTTCAATTTTCATTATTTTATTCATATTGTTGTAATCGCCAAAAATAATTATACAGGGTCCTGCAACAGTGCGTCGGGCCTCTGTGTAGCTCAGTAGCCTCAGCTGTACCATGGTAACCTATGTCAATTATTTTATTATTTGATGATTCTCTAGAGTTTTCTTACCTATTATTAATTAAAAATAAAGGGGTTTTCTCAAATTTTATTTTTTTGAATTATTCCACATTTTAAGTTGTTTCTGGCCCAATGTGCACCGGTTATTTTGGATTTAAGTAGAACGCTCTACAGGACGAGCCCTAAAGTCCTCGATAAAAGAAACATAATATTATCTCTTTTCATTTTTGAAGTAAGTCCAAAATTTTATTTTACTTTGAAAATTAAAAAAAAATATATTTTCATTTAAATTTTGAGAACCACTGGATCTTCTCTGGGTTTTCTTTCTTGTAAATTTAATCTACCTCCTATGTTGCCATATTATGAAGATATTATGTTTTTTTATCTAAAAATTAAAGAAATTTCCAAAACATTTTCCAAAAATTCCAAAATTTCAATTTTTTTTGCCAAAAAAAAACGTCATAAACGTGTTTCTGGGGTCGAAATAAAAATATTTGCACTTATTTAAGACTCACCCTGTATATATTACTGTTTTTTTTTTCTCTTAAATTCTACTTTATATGTTAAATAGTTCATAAATAAATTTTTCAACTCTTTTGCCCCGTAAAGAATAATTATATAGAGTGTTTGGAAAAAGTCAACAATTTCAGAGTATTGTAGAAAAAATGTGTATCGCATACGTCAATTTAATAGCATAATTATTCATATCATTTCAAATTTGCAAATAAAAAAATCAATGAGATTATGACATTAGTGATAACATAAAAATATTAGTAGTAACAAATGCAATTCACAAATTTTATATTAAGTTTTGTACAGTTAATACAGTAAAGTAATTAGAATAAAGTACGGTAAACGGACTGACTAAATTAGTTAAACATGCTGTTAGGTTTAAGCCAGTTTAAGTAAATTGCTTAGATAATTAATTGGCTCTTTACACTTAAAAAAGTTATAATAAATATTTTTTTCAACGTCGGATATCCTGTGATATAAATCTCGCACATCATTAATTAAATAAATTAACTAACTTTATTTAACTTAATTAAAGAAAATAATTAATGTATATAACGTACTGTCACGTATAACCTGCGGCATATAAAACAATGATATTGCACACATTAGATTTTTAATGTACAGGGTGTGCCATTTTCCTGTGTTTTACAGGGTTTTTGTTTATGAGTGCTACAAAGATATGGTTTCCACATTACTGTGCTACTTTTTTATGAAACTAAAGATGCTAAACACAGGTTTGCCCTAGTCTTCTTAGTTCCTGCAAATCAAGGCGAATTTTAAAATGTTGCATGAGTCTTGTAAAGTTTTTCACGTAGAATCCAGTGACGTGACTAATTTCTCGCTGGGGGCTGTTATTTTCAAAATATAACTGAAACTTTTGGTTTTTTAAATGGGACACTTTGTATATTATTTTTTATTTTATTTGACTATTTTATAGGCTTTCTAAATATACAGGGTGGCCCATCGAAAACGTTCCGCAAGGCATAACGGCCAGGGTAATTTTTTTTCAGAAAATTCAAAACACGTCAATTTTGTTTGTGAGGGGGACAACTTTTGCCCCAAAAATGATTGCAAAATCTTTAACGCTCTAAGCGGGGATGTCATCCCCCAATTTTTTTCAATTGGGAAGGGGGGTCAAGTGGTACCGCAATGAAAAGAGCTTTCTATTCTCTATACTTTCCCGCTTCGGTTTTGAAAATCGGTCGAGTTATTGAGAAAATATGAAGGATTGAAATTTGAAAATTTTATTTAAACATTTATCAGATTAACGATAAGGATAAATTCCTTCGACCAATTTGCAGTTTTTTCTTATTATTTCTAGATGTTTACGCATTTTTTCCCTTGCCAGAAGGTTGAACGATCAGGTGCGGTAGTTGCTAGATAGCTGTTCTGTGACTTGTGCGTTGAAGCGGTTGAAGTTCTTTTCAATATCGTTAAACTTTTTAACAATTATGGTGTACTCACTTGCAGAAAGAGTGGAAATAATCGAACTTTATTTTAAAAATAATGAATGTGGCAATCGGGCTGCGCAGATATTCAATGAACGCCATCCTGACAAACACGTTTATGGCAAAATTGTTCGCGAGTTAGTAGCAAAATTTTGCGAAACTGGTTCCGTTATGAATAAAAAGAGGCAAAGGCAAAATCCTGTAGTAAATGAAGCTATGGAGGTATTCGTATTGGGCGAAGTTGCCATGGATAGCACGCTGAGTACAAGAAAATTAGCCAATAAGACCGGCGTGAATCGTACAAGTGTTCAAAGGATATTAAAAAAACACAAGTTCCACCCGTACAAAATTCAGTTGGTACAAGAACTCAACGAAGACGATTTTGATCGTCGTTTGCAATTTTGTGAAACTATGAGTGAACGAGTGGCGAATGATAATAATTTCTAACCTAACTGACATCATAGAGAACAATACTGGATACGTTGAAGCGGAACGTTGAGTAATTATTTAAACAATAACTTTCCCGGTCGGTGGATAGGACGAAGGGGTGCAGTTGAGTGGCCTCCCCGGTCACCCGACTTGACTCCTTTAGACGTTTTTCTATGGGTACACATAAAAAGTAAAGTGTATAGCACTCCACCCGCCTCATTAGAAGACCAGCGAAGACGAATTATTGATGTTTGTCGCGAAGTGACCCCGCAAGTTCTTCAGAATGTTCGAACGGTTTGAAAATAATTTGTATTACTGTATGGAGGTTGGCGGGCAACATTTTCAGCATTTGCTTCATTAATTAGGTAAGTTTTTTTAAATTAATTCAATTTATGCGTTTTTTTGCAAAAAATACTTTTCAAATTTCAATCCTTCATATTTTCAAAATGACACGACCGATTTTTAAAAACGAAGCGGGGAAATATAGAGAATAGAAAGCCCTTTTCATGGCGGCGCAACTTGACCCCCCTTCCCATTTGAAAAAAGTTGGGGGATGACACCCTCGCTTAGAGGGTTGGAGATTTTGCAATCATTTTTAGGGCAAAAGTTGTCCCCCTCACAAACAAAATTGACGTGTTTTTGGATTTTTTGAAAAAATAAATACCCTGGCCGTTATGCCTTGCGGAACGTTTTCGATGGGCCACCCTGTATAATATACTCTATACTTATATTCATAAATAAGGTAAAAATGCATTATTCAACTTTTTAACATAAATCAACCAATAGCTTAAAAAGAGTATTATCACAGGTTATACAGATTATAAACTTATCGTCAAAAGCATTGTTTTTCGTGGTTCCAATTTTCGGAGTCGCGTACTAGTTAGGTTACTAGTTTGCGCACATAGCACGCCCACTTATGGCCTCTAAAATTATGCACAGCGCCTGACCGGCCCACAATGGAACGAGTCCATGTTAAATGTTGGACATGGGGCTAAAATTTTTTTTGGGAAAATGGAAAACTGAATATGGTAGTTTCAAAAACAAATATCAGTCCTCTCTTAAAAACTGATTTTTAGAAAACAAAAATGTATTTTGTCGTTTTTACAAAGGTTTAAAATTAACCGTTTTCAAAAATGCTAATTCATGTTGAAAATATTACCACAATTTGATTTTTTTATTGCCCAAGCTGCGGTAGGTTTTTTAAAAAATATTATTTTTTTAATTTAACTCGTTCTTGTGAATGAATTTTTGGCAAAATTTTGTACATACATCTCATCAATCACCCACTATATATTTTTGAATAAAAAGTTTTGAATTTTTATTATAGATCTAATCATCAAGAAATATGAAGTAAGTGCCGCAAGGTACCATAAAAAGAATACCGGCATATAGTAGACCATTATACCCTTATTATAAACATATATAAAAAAGTTGCCCCAATTTGCCGTTTTTTGAAAAAAAACAAAATTTGAACTATACGATGGATACTATTTCCAAGGGGCTTTTAAGTAATTTACATAGGTTGAACAAGTCTGGCTTTAAAAATATATTGTTATTCCGATATTATTATTAGGTACTATCCTAAATCGTATATTAGTAGATTATATCCAAATCATTGCACCCCCCTCCATTAGGATACATCTACGGTTTTTATTATTATAAGCAGAACTATTAAAAAAATAATTCTCAAATAGGACTTTTTAATGAGAAATTAGTGTTCTATCACTTTACTATAGTTATTTTCCTAACAAATGCGTAAAGTGATACTTTCCCGCACGCCTTATTTGACATTTACCCTGACATTAAGAAATAATGCTAGTCGTTCAAATAATTTTCAAATATGCAGTAATTTAATATGGTTATCACTTGGCTGAAATATTCAAAAACGAAAAGAAAAACATGCTAAACCATTATTTTTTAACATTATTTTGTCCAGAAAACATTAACTTTATCTAAAACTGCGTTTATTAAAATACAAACTTAAAAGTACCTAATTTTTAAAATTGTTCGTCATCTTCAATTTTTATGAAATATCAATTTTGACATTAAATTTGTATATTTCAAAGCATTGGCTTTCCAAAATTACCACAAATAATAAAATCGGACCAAAAATGTTTGAGTAATGAACAATTTTCAAAGGCTCATTTTTGTTGACCACCCTATATAATAAATTATTAATCTACTAAAAATATTTTTTCTAATAAAACTCAAAGTTCCTTCACTCCAAAAAAACTGAAAACGAAAAAATTTGATAACAATGAAGCAAAGTTATGGGCTTTAAAAAAATTGGTTTTGGTAAAACACACCATATTTTTAGGGCGCCCTATACATGGTTTAAGTTATGTAAGGCAACAATTTTTTGTTATAATTTAAGACGTCCCTCTTTACATAATATTACATTATATATATATATATATATATATATATATATATATATATATATATATATATAATTTTAAGTTTTCCAGATTGAAAGTAGTAAAAAACCTAATGTCCAACCGCTCCCATAAGCTCGTTCCACTGTGCGGCCCAGTTATTACGCTGTTTAAACGCGAGTTTAGTTTTGCGCACATCAGGAAATTTTACTCGTTTGCTCATCGTCATAAAAAACAATTTTCGTAACACAAATTAGGGACAATATTTTTATCTGTATACATATAGTACACCCTAATCTGTTATTTTATTTAATTAACTAGATAATTTGAAAATGAACTTTTAGGTAACACGATGTCAATCAATTATATTCATACTTTTGATACACTTGTGCAATAATTTCACACACAGAGCGTGGAATAGCCAATAACCAAATAACCAAAATTTGACGTCGAATAAATGATTAGATTGTTTTAATTAACTAATTTAAACCGGCCTTATATGTATATTAAAAAGTTGAATAACGCATTTTTTTACCTTGTTTAAGGAAATAAGTATAAAGTATATTATATTTTTAGAAAGCTCATAATAAAGCAAATATAATAAAAAAATAAGACGGGGTATCCCATTAAAAAAAAATATGAGGTTGGGTCATAATTTCAAATGCAACAATGGGCTGGGATAAATATGTGTGTAGTATCTTTAGTTTCATAAAAAAATAGCACACTGACACAACAGTGATATGAAAAATGTAGCGTTGTACCTCTACATATAAACGAAGAAACCCTGTAAAACACACGAAACTAGGACAGCCTGAACATACTTTTTTCATAGCTTTAGCAGTAGGAAAACATAAATAATTAATGATATACTTATTGATATTTTCAAGGAACAAAAAAATATTGACTTGATGACATTTTTCAGAAAACTGATATAACCATACCAAAAAAAATCCTTCATGTTTCTTAGACGACCCAGTCTAATATTTTTAAACCTGAATAGCATCTTTGTTGCATATTTTACTCCGAACGCCTCAATTAATTTAATTAAAAGTAGAAATTGTCGGTTTATATCGTTTTTTTGTGCGCTAGGTCTAAATTATTTCCCATGAATAATTTAAAGAGGAAAGAACGATTTGAGATGCCGTTAAGGCATCTAACAAGCCTCCGCAGCTTCGCAGCTCGATGGACGGTCTTTTTTACCTCTCTTTGTGGTAAAAGCTCGGCGCAAAAATAGCCGAGGAGTACAGTTAGAAGGCGAGCAAATTATTGTCGAGCAGGTTGAACTGCTTCTCGAACGCTAGAAGAAAGGACGTTGTTATTATGGAACTATGTACTCTATATATAGATTTTTTGAATGGTGCATTTTACGTTAAATACAGGGTGTTCCTTAATGACATTCTAATATTTAAGGGGATGATTCATAGACCTATTCTAATAGAAAAACTTCATATGTACAGGGTGACGCCTCTCATACGCCGCGGAGGCTCCAAAGAAAACGACAGTTTGTATTGAACACTTTTTAAAAATATAGGGAGTTCTACAGGCTGTCCCCAAAAAAAGTTACATATCAAAGTTGTGTTTTTTGTAAGTGTTTGTGTTGTTTTATTATATACCTAAAAACTGCAAGAAATTTATTTTCCATTATATAATTTGGGCTAGCCGAAAAAAGCCTTTATTTACTATCGATAGTTGTGCCTCGGTGGTACGAAAGTACTACCATTGCACGCAGGCCGCTGTCTCGCGATGCGGGACTTAATATCTTACCGCTACTTTACAAGTTGTGTTTATATACTCTGCGCCATAGACAAACAGAAAAATTAAAAGACTGCCAGAAGACATACGACGCGCAGGCAAATGTACCTGTAGCGCATCGACGCAAGTGCCGAAATACGTCCATCTAGCTATCTGTGTTTCGACACTAGTCCGTTAGTCTTAGCATATTCAGAAAGAACACGCTAACCTCCAGCGTTGCCAATTTGTGGGGAATTCCCCAAATTTTGGGGAATCTGGAGCCGATTGGGAGTTTTGTGGGGATTTTAGCAATAGGAGGCGAAAATAAGGGGAGTTTCAACATTTTATTGCTGATTGAAAATGGCGTAAAATTTTTAGCTTTAAAAACGGAGCGGGACGATATATCTTTCCCAACTATTAAAAATTATAATCTGCTTTTTACTTGTGCTTCCCTTTGCAAATGCTTCAGTTGAAAGAAAATTTAGTGACCTCAAATTATTTAATGACTACTAGGGAAGGGATTAAAAAACAAGGAGGTAATTTACAGTTTAATCTCTCTAACATATATAATAAATATTGTATTTTTATTAAATTTTTTTTTTGTTAAAATAATCATATGGGGAATTTTTGGTGAATCGGGACATTTTTCTCCCCAAATTGGCGAATTTAATTTAGATTTTTGGGTAGTTTAGAAAATTGACATTGGCAACGCCGCTAACCTCATTCTTTTGTTTGTTGTTTGTTCAAAAAGCGGCACGCGGCGTAGTACAAGGCTTGATCATTTTTAAGAAATTTTTGATTGTTAATTTTATTTTTCTGCAACTAAACAGTTGTTTTTTATTAAAAAATAGCAGACAAAGGTAAGAAAGGTAATGTCCATGCAGAAGTTTTTATTTCACAGGCTATTCTTTCTAGAAATTATACCATCCAGCCCTCCTATTTAATTATTAAATAAAAGTGTGAAAGAGATATCAAGGGCTATTCTGTTAAAATGTCATCCGACCAGTCTAGGCCCTGTTGTGAACCAGAAGGTGTGCTAAGTTGGATGTTGGATATAGAATGGAAGGAATATCATGGCCGAGAACAAGGCATAATTGTATGTCCCTTGATGTAGGGGGGTAGGTTTGTTTCGAATAGGCAGTAAAACCAAAAATTCTACTGTGAATCTTCATATTCTAGGCCTGTAAAGGTAAATAATTCCTGGAGCCATCTCGAGGTATAGTACTCAAGTCGGAGCGAATCAATTGATAGCACGATGAAAAGAAATAATAGCCAGCATAAAACTGTAAATATGTATATAACTAGTACTATGTAGCTATTTAACTGTAAGTACAATGTAGCTAGATATTAGTAGAATAGGGGTATTATAAATTAATACAAAATACAATAATTGGTCATTCTTTCCATTCCCATTCAATTCTTCCCATTTAATCGTTTTCCCATAAAAAAAGGAAAATTAAAATTAAGAGTGCCCTTAACCAAAAATAGTGAAATAAATGGAGATAGTCAAATTTTATATTAGCGTGTAAGACTTTGAATAAAAAGGTGTAAAAGGATTATAAATGCTGTATTTATATCCTTTAGTATCATGATAATATAAAAAATTTGAGTAGGTATCTCCATTTATATCACTGTTTTTGGTTAAGGGCACTCTTAGTTTTAATTGCCTTAAAAATAATAAGTATAATAATAATTTAAATCTCCCGCTCTTTCATAGTTTGTACCTGTAGCCAAGTAGAGGGCGCTAAAAGCGCAATCTCCCAACATTTTACCACGCGATTCACCACTCTCTAAACTATTAACTTTCTCTATGCTCTGCGCTGTGCTCGACATATTGTGGAAATACCCAAGCTCACCTGATGATGGGGTAGGGCCCCGAAACCGGTAGTGAGAGCAGGTTGATCCACATTATGTCGAACACAGCGTGGAATTAATTTCTATATTAGCAGTTCAAGGCAAGAAACTCTTATATAATTTTATTATACACCTAAAAACTGCAAGAAATTTATTTTCCATTATATAATTTGGGCTAGCCGAAAAAAGCCTTTATTTACTATCGATAGTTGTGCCTCGGTGGTACGAAAGTACTACCATTGAACGCAGGCCGGTATCTCGCGATGCGGGACTTAATATCTTACCGCTACTTTACGACAAGTCGTGTTTATATACTCTGCGCTGTGCTCGACATATTGTGGAAATACCCAAGCTCACCTGATGATGGGGTAGGGCCCCGAAACCGGTAGTGAGAGCAGGTTGATCCACATTATGTCGAACACAGCGTGGAATTAATTTCTATGTAGTTAAATTAACTATTGTACTTTAAATTAAATTAAAACTTGATCCAAAAACTTGTACAGGGTGAGACAAAATTAATATTGAACATTGGTCACCTTTAAAAGCATGTTACTCTTTTATTTTAAATGGAACGCCCAGTATATTATTCCGAGATTCAATGGAGAATTCATGTCTCTTCAAAATATTATTAAGGCTGCCTACCCCTCAAGCAAAGATTTTCCTAGATATTTTCATTTACATGATTTGATCTGAGTAGATCTTTATTATTTGATAAAATCTAGGTGGCTGTGATATATCTGCCGTTACTTCAACATAGCTGTCTAATTAGTCCAACTTTAACAACTAGTTACCATTCTGTGTCAGTTAAAACAAAAAAAAATTCAGGAATTTGCCGAAAATGCAAACTTATCCTACATACGAGAGAATTGATATGATTCTATTAGTTGGTGAATGCAGTGTTCATTCACCAATTAATAGAATATTTAAATGCTCGTTTTTCTTATGGGGATATGTTAAAGACAGTGGTTACAAAACTCGCAGCTTGTCGACAACATGAGAGAAATTATTGTAGCTGCTTTTCGAGGTAGAACTCCACATATGCCTTTTAAAATGAAAAGATCCTTTTGAAAAGACAATCATTTGTTAAAAGGAAAGGAAGCATTTTGAGCATTTGATTTCATCTAGCTAATTTTTGTCACATAATTATAGGTTTATATCTAGTTTTAATTCTGTAATATTTAAAATATATTTTAAACGTGTATCTTTTTATTACCGATGAGTATTTTACTCTACAATCTTTAATTTTTGTTAAATTAAAAAAGGTATATCACACAGCCACCCTAGATTTCTTCAAATAATAAAGATCTACTGACGCAAAATCATAAAAATTAAAATATCTAGGAAAATCTTTGTCTGAGGGGTAGGCAACCTTAATAATATTTTGTAGTTATATAAATTCCCCATTGAACACCGGAAAAATATACTGGGTGTTCCATTTAAAATAAAGGAGTAACTTGCATTTAAAAGCGACTATTGTTCCATATTAATTTTTTCTCACCCTGTATACTTTTCGGGTCAAATTTCAATTTGTTTTAACATACAATGGTTACTGCAATTAAATATCAGTCTATACAAAGTCAAATAAATTAGGTAGCTGTTATTGAAATTTAAAATTTACTCTTCATTTTCACAAAATGTGAAATATGTCAAAATCTTTAGATTTTAGGTATATCCTTCTTTAATAAAATTCACCTTTATTTTTTCCTAGAATCGGAAAATCAAATAATATATAGGGTTGCGATAGAAAAAACAACTTTGATGTGTAACTTTTTTTGAGGACACCTTGTATAATTACGTACATTTTTATAAAATGCTTTCAGTTAACCCTTATATGCTCACAAAATTTCATTTCAATACAAACTGTCGTTCTCATTGGAGCCTCCGCGGCGTATGAGAGGCGCCACCCTGTATGTCCTAAACATCTTAATTTCTGAGATACAGGGTGGTAAAATTTTCTTAATAACTATGATTTTATTAGAGATATCTTTATAAAACTCGATACACGTCTTCTATGCATCAAAATATCTTTTTTGGTGTATAAAGAATTTTATTTATTTCAAACAGTGCCGTCCATACGGGGTTTACATGATTTTTTAGAGAAAAAAGTGGTACACCACTGACTTTGAGAGACTTTGATTATCGGAATAATATACTGGGTGTTCAATTTAAAATAAAGGAGTAAACTTTTAAAACTGCCCAATGTTCAATATTAATTTTGTCTCACCTTGTATAACTTTTCGGGTCAAATTTTAATTTGGTTTAACATACAACGATTATTTTAACCAAATATTAGGCTATATACAGGGTAAATTACAATTTAGGTAACAGTTATTGAAATTTAAAAGTCCCGTTAAAGAATAATTAGACCGCCCTGTATATTTATTATTAATTAAGAACCGAGACATAGCAACGCTTCCATAAATATCGCGAATAATACCTCGTACCGTACAAGGAACAAGAGATGAACTTCGTTGTTGTTTCCTAAACGCCTACTTTGTGCCATAATTTATAACCGATACGCCCGTTTTCCTATTCCAAACTGTTATTAGCAAGTTATTACTTGTGTTCTATCGTCCGATCTATATACAAAGATGCAAATTTTCCTTCAATATTATCTTTAGCTAACGGCGCTTTAATTCAACACTAGAAAAGAAATATTTATGTTTATCGCTGAGAGAAATATATGGCTTAGATATTATTAAAAATACGGCCCTGCCTATTTTTATTAGACATCAGATATAAAAAAGAAAATGTATTTTAAGCTAACGTTTCCCTTTTGCTAAAGAAACCCTCTACACGTTGGACAATATGCTGGCGCATCTACCAGCACCTACTAGTGCCTACTACTACTGCCATTACTCGCCGACGAGTATTCGACACGCATCAGAAGATGGTGACGCAAGGCGTTTTCTTTTGTGAGTTTTTCTGTGACTGAAAAGCCCGATACGTAATGTTATCTGTCTACCGCATTCCGGACATTCAAAAATCTCATTGCTTTGTTGCCTCTTTACTAGCGGGATTTTGTAATCATGACTTCAATACTCTTGCAGTTAGCTTTTTCATGAACCGATACGTTTGAGACATGATTGAACCATTTGATTTTTAAGAATTGCCTAAGATGTCTTTGTTGCAACTTGATTAATGCGTTCATGTGTCGCGTCGGCGGTACGGCACTCGGGTTTCGCATCCATATAACATGGTGGGAATTATTATTGCTCGGTACACTGCAAGTTTCGTTTTTGTGCTCAAGTCATGATTGTAGAAAACCCTGTTTTTTAATTTCCAGAATGCTCTTGAGGCGCTGCTAATTCTGTGCTGAATTTCAAAGTCGATATTGGCCTTTTCCGAAATTTACCAGCACCAAGAACTGATGCGTCTTATAAAAACTGACAACAGACGGATCGATCGCAAATGCTTGGGCCAACTCCACTGGCCAGCTATATTGGCATATGCATTGAGCAACGTGTACGGCCATAAGGCAAATCTGGATGGGGTCTACTTTGTTTACACGGAATCCGAACCGCGGTTCTCGGCTATATCGTTGTCAATGGCCCACCGATTTGGCGAGTGTCTAAATCGACACGTACTCACGAGATATCCGATCTTATCCGGCCTCAAATCGGCGTGAGTGATGAGTGAGCAGTGTGTGTGTGTCTAGATTTTACACTCTTGCCATGGAACAACAGCATGGCAGAGTTTCCAGACGGTCACCAGTACGAATTTTGTAAAAAATACCTTTTTTAGATATTTAAACCTTTGTAAATACAGGGTGGCCCATCGAAAACGTTCCGCAAGGCATAATGGCCAGGGTAATTTCTTTTTCAGAAAATTCAAAAACAAGTCAATTTTGTTTATGAGGGGAACAACTTTTGCCCCAAAAATGATTACAAAATCTTCAACCCTCTAAGCGGGGGTGTCATCCTCCAATTTTTTTCAAATGGGAAGGGGGTCAAGTGGTACCGCAATGAAAAGAGCATTCTATTCTCTATACTTTCCCGCTTCGTTTTTCAAAATCGGTGGAGTCATTGAGAAAATATGAAGGATTGAAATTTGAAAAGTTTATTTAAACATTTATCAGAGTAAATGATAATGATAAATTCCTTGGACCAATTTGCAGTTTTTTCTTATTATTTCTAGATGTTTACGCATTTTTTCCCTTGCCAGAAGGTTGAATGATCAGGTTCGGTAGTTGTTAGATAGCTGTTCTGTGACTTGTGCGTTGAAGCGGTTGAAGTTCTTCTCAATATCGTTAAACTTTTTAATAATTATGGTGTACGCACTTGCAGAAAGAGAAATAATCGAACTTTATTTTAAAAATAATGAATGTGGCAATCGAGTTGCGCAGATATTCAATTCGCCATCCTGGCAAACATCTTTATGGCAAAATTGTTCGCGAGTTAGTAGCAAAATTTGGCGAAACTGGTTCCGTTATGAATAAAAAGAGGTAGAGGGAAAATCCTTTAGTAAATGAAGCTATGGAGGTATTCGTATTGGGCCAAGTTGCCATGGATAGTACGCTGAGTAAGAGAAAATAAGCCAATGAGACCGGCGTGAATCGTACGTGTCCAAAGGATATTAAACAAGTTCCACCCGTACAAAATTCAGTTGGTACAAGAACTCAACGAAGACGATTTTGATCGTCGTTTGCAATTTTGTGGAACTATGAGTGAACGAGTGGCGAATGATAATAATTTCCTATTTAATGTGTGTTTTTCGGACGAGTGTACTTTCTTTTTGAACGTGTAGTTAATCGGCACAACTGTCGGTACTGGCCTCAGGACAACAAATGTGGCTGTGAACGAAGGTTTTTTGGAACCCCAGGGTTTTTCATGAGGTGCACACCCAAAACTCAGAAATTGAACGTATGGGCTGGTATTTTTGGAAATTCTATTGTGGGTCCTTTTTTTCTTCCTGGAAATCTAACAGGTGATATGTACTTGGATTTACTGACTATCCTGGATACGTTGAAGCGAAACTAATATATCAACAAGACGGTGCGCCTCCACATTACTCTCAAAATGTGCGTAATTATTTAAACAATAACTTTCCCGGTCGGTGGATAGAACGAAGGGGTGCAATTGAGTGGCCTCCCCGGTCACCCGACTTGACTCCTTTAGACTTTTTTCTATGGGGACACATAAAAAGTAAAGTATATAGCACTCCATCCGCCTCATTAGAAGACCTGCGAAGACGAATTATTGATGTTTGTCGCGAAGTGACCCCGCAAGTTCTTCAGAATGTTCGAGAACGGTTTGAAAATAATTTGTATTACTGTTTGGAGGTTGGCGGGCAACATTTTCAGCATTTGCTTCATTAATAACATAAGTTTTTTTTAATTAATTCGATTTATGCGTTTTTTTTTGCAAAAAGTACTTTTCAAATTTCAATCCTTCATATTTTTAAAATGACTCGACCGATTTTTAAAAACGAAGCGGGGAAATATAGAGAATAGAAAGCCCTTTTCATTGCGGCGCCACTTGACCCCCTTCCCATTTGAAAAAAGTTGGGGGATGATTAGAGGGTTGAAGATTTTGCAATCATTTTTGGGGCAAAAGTTGTCCCCCTCACAAACAAAATTAACGTATTTTTGGATTTTTTGAAAAAAAAAATACCCTGGCCGTTATGCCTTGCGGAACGTTTTCGATGGGCCACCCTGTATATATGGTATAATTTACGACATGCACACCCTTCCGTACATTTAAGATTCATTTAATGAACGGCACATGTTAAAATGAAAAGAAAATGAACTATGATAACATTGGACAGATAAAGGAAACAAGTTTACTAGATTGGAATGCTCGGCTTGTCACTTATAATTGTTTTGGAGCGCATACGCAATATTTGGCAACATAATACCAGAAAAAGCCGAACCGCTCCGAAATTATCAAAAGCTTTAGAGAGCGACTGTTGTAAGAATAACGCCAAATAGTATTTACATTGTCCTTATCAGCACTTTCCAATCTAAACTTTTTTCTTATATCTATACGTGATCCTGATTTACACTACAAATTTTGGATATCAAAATCTGTATAATATAGGAGACTATTATTTTATTCTAATAAACCATGCCATGTACTTACATCATCGGTATCTTCGTCTTGACTTGGCTCGCTACTCTCCGGTCCATTTCCGTTTCCCAGCACACTAGGAACGCGAGGTTCTTCTTCGTATTTGACAGGAGGCGGGGGCGTGGCCACCTTTGTGACAAGTGGCGCTTGCTGCGTAATGACCGCATTAACAGGTTCGCTTGGCGGGTCTGTAAATAAAATAATACACTTCAAATTTTCAATTCAAAGGTATATTAGTACAAAATGAATAAAAGTGTGTTTTAAAATAATCCATAATAAAATTTAGTATATAAAAAGTGCTACAGTATCTTCACTAGAACAATAAATAGGTTAGGAATACAAAAATACTTTCTTAGTGCCTTTTATTCCACCACATAATAGATTAACTATGCAAATTGTTTTGGTTTGATCAATAGCGGTAACTTTGATATGGGTATGTACTAAACCAAGATATTTTAGACAATAAATATCATGTAGATAGATTGGAAAAATTAACTGCAAAGAAGAATAACCAGCTGGGCTAATATCCATTTGTGGTTCATGTGCAATGTACAATAGTAATCTAAAATGATTCAACTTTATACACTTTAGTCTTTCAAAGATCATATTTTATTTATACTAAGCAAACCCGTCAATAACTAAAAGTTATATTTCCGTGTTTGCTATACTTAATTTTTTAGCAACAAGAATTAATTGTATTTTTTTACTTACTAAATATGAATGCTACTTTGTTTTGTCTAGTTTAATAAAGTTTTTCTCATTTTTTTTAATATACGTATAGCTGCATTTTTATTAAATATTTCTTTAGATTAAATTTCTCATTCTGATAGTCAATCCCAGGATCCCAGGATTATAGGTTTTTATCCTGGGATTTCCAAAAAAACGGGACCCGGATCCAGAAAATTTGAATCCCTACTTACGGGACAATAGATGATCAAATATTATATTATTTACAAAAAAAACTTTATATGCAAGTATAGCATTACTGAACAATTGATATTGGTGGATTTTATCCAGGAATAGTTGACTGTTACTAAACATGCATGTTGCATGTTCTCAGGGGCGTGCATATAATGTAGACAAAAAGGCGTTGTCTACTCCAGGAAAAATCATAAAATATCTTATTGAATTATATTGTCTGTGTAAAGTAAGTAAGCCTAAGAACATAGTGAAGCGACGAGGAGAGCGGCGAGCAAGCAGCGCGATACCACGTCGAGCAAGCCTCGAGGTGCTAAAACATAGTAGAGTGGCGAGGAATAGCGAGGCGCTTGTGCAAATTTATTGTTTTTATTTGCTTATTGATAATTTAAAATGTTAACAGTAGCTAAAATTATGGGCAGTAATGTCGCAAACATTTGATTACATAAAATTTTCAAAAACCGGAGAAAGGGTGGCAAGTTTTATAACCTTTATGAAAATTTGTTGCTACTTCATCTCATAACTTATCTAAAATGAACCGGTTATTACTATCGGTGATTACTATCTTTCTGATCCTATAAAATCTCTCTTACAAATAGTAAATCTATGAATTTTTGGGAATCTATAATTTTCTACAGTGCGACAGAGCGACGTAAACAAAATTATTTGAATCAATCTCGCCGCTCGATCTAACCGCTCGAGCCCCCCCCCCCAGATCGCTTTACTATAGCTTACTTCGAGTTTCTCTTATTACCGATTCTGAACCGTCCTAGAACTGTGATGCGTATGGGCAGAAGGAAATATGAAGACGTTATTTTATTTGCGCATGCGCTGCCGAGTTCTAGGACGGTTCAGAATCGGTAATAACAAGAATCCGAACAAAGCTTATGTTCACACGTACTTGTCTTCACAGGTTTGTTTTGGACGCGATGTGGCGCTGCTTGCTCGCCGCTGTACTCGTCGCTTCACTATGTTTTTAGCCTAACGCGTGATTTAATTTCGTCGGTATCGGTAGCTGTTCGGCACAGTGATGCCAAATCTTTTTTTTTCATCCAATTTAGAGTAAAACTAGTTATACTGATTACTTAATTCATTACTTATGCTATTTTTATTTTATTGTTTGCCAGTTTTTGCCTACCCTACTTTGATTTGCACTGTGTGTCACTATATTTACTTAAAAGTGAGGGGATGAACAACATACATATTAATTATACATATTAGATTAATATTTTATTCAGTGTAATATTCCCTGAGTTTACCAGAATTACTAATGTAAAACAGAGACTATGAATTTTGTTCTAAATACAAGTACAGGGTGAGTCAACGATAGAGTAAAGTCCATTATCTCATTTGTTTCAAGGTTTACAAAAAAATATTAAATATAAAAGTTATAGGGACGGTTAAGATACACATCTTAAAATTATTATAGAGTATACAGGGTGCTTCAAAAAAGTGTGGCGAATATAACATGTTTTTTTAAATGCAACACCCTGTTTTTTATTTTATTTTTAGATTCTGCGTAAAATTCCATAACTTTTTTATAGATAATGTTATATACCTAAAATTAATAATTTTTGTAATATTTAAACTTGTTTAAACAAATGTTAGATTGCAGTGTGATAAAAAAATGTCAGTGATGGCATTGTTTCTGAAGTTGGACAACTAAAATTTGGTAGGAGAATTTAATAGAGATATAGAAAAAGACTTATGTAAAGATATTTTAGTTAGATACTACAGGGTGTTCAAAATATATTTAGGAATTTCAATTATTTAAAATTAAGAAATTTCAAATTTTTTAAATGGTACACCCTATATATTATTATTTTTTGTGATAGATTTTACAAAACTCTTCAACTTTTATTAAGTATGTCTTATACCTATTTTTAATAGTTTCCGATTTATTCCAATTTTTTCTATTTTTACCCATATTTTTAATACAATTACGCTATAACATCATAGTTGCCATGACGAAAAGTAATAATTATCAAAATTTCTTGTCTATTAAGCAAGTTAAGAACAAAATTTAAATTTTAGTTTAATTTGTTGTAATAAGTATAAATGGTAGAGATAATCGTTACAGATTTTCCTGAAATGAATTAGTCAATATGACTGATACACACGAACAAGCCAAGAAAAACATATTTTTTGATTCAGTACTATATATTATATAGTACTTTGCTAAGTAGTATAAGAATAGATGTAGATTATTATCTAAAAAATATCTTCAGTGTGTAATGGGACGGTTTCGCGGCAGTAGTAATATTGGCTTTACCAAATAAATTATAAACCAGCATTACTACGAGAAAAAAACTTTACTGTATGTCAAAGAAAATTCCTATATCAGTATAGTCTGCAACAATTAAGTCTAGTATTATCCTAATCTGTGGCTATTCGCCCCGACGGAAAATACAAGTGTCATCTTTCATAATATAGAAATACACCAAGAAATTCGAGACTGCGATTTTAATTTATTTCAGTAAATTAATTAATTTTAACAAATACCAGCAATTATAACTAATTGTTAAGGTACTTGTTAAAGATAAGTAATAAATAGTTTGTTTTGTCATGGCAACTATGATTTTATAGGGTAATTGTATTAAAAATATGGGTAAAAATAGAAAAAATTGGAATAAATCGCGAACTATTAAAAATAGGTACATGACATACTTAATAAAAGTTGAAGAGTTTTGTAAAATCTATCAGAAAAAATAATAATATATAGGGTGTCCCATTTAAAAAATTTCAGATTTTTTAATTTTAAGTAGTTGAAATTCATAAATATATTTTGAACACCCTGTATCATTCAACTAAAATATCTTCAAATATATATTTTTTTTCATCTCTATAAAACTCTCCTACCAAATTTTAGTCCTCCCGCTTCAGAAACAATGGCACCACTGACAATTTTTTACCACACTGCAATTTAACATTTGTTTAAACAAATTGAAATATTACAAAAAGTATTAATTTTAGGTATATAACATTATAATATAAAAAAGTTATGAAATTTTACGCAGAATCTAAAAATAAAATAAAAAATAGGGTGTTGCATTTAAAAAACCATATGTTATATTCGCCACACTTTTTTCAAGCACCACAAGAATAATTTTAAAATGTGTATCTTAACCTTCCCTATAACTTCTATATTTAATATTTTTTTGTAAACCTCGAAACAAATGAGATAATGGACTTTACTCTATCGTTGACTCACCCTGTACATTCTCTTGATATACCAATTACTACTTTTCTATAGAATTCATACTGACATTTTGCGAGTAGTAGGACATCAGTAGGAGTATTCTAAAAAATATATTCATAAGGCGTGCCAAAAAGGCCACACCAAATGGATTTTTTTATTATTGAATTATTGACGGAATATTACAAACATCCTCTATACATACGCAAAAACTAGGGTTAAATTCCCCATATTTCTTACAATTTTTTTGATTCATCCGGTCTATATCAATATAATTTAATATCAAAAAAAATAATGGCATTAGTGACAGTAGTCTGTCGCTAAACTTCAAAAGGAAATTATTTTTCTGTCATTTTTTAGATGTAGTATATTAAAATCTTCATACAGGAAAGACTAGAGTAATCATTAAAATATCAAACACACTTTTATTTATTCTTTGTATTTTAGTTATATAAGGTGAGTCTTAAATAAGTGCATATATTTTAGGGGTATTATTGTTCGACCCTAGAAACATATCTATGAGGTTTTTTTCGCAATTTTATTTTTGAAAATTTGATTTTTTTTTAATTTTTGGAATATTTTTTAGTTTTTAGTTAAAAACGTAAATTCTTGATAATCTGGCGTTGGTAGTATCACAGATTAAGTATACTATATGTATACAGATAAAAATCTTATCCCTAATTCGTGGTACGAAAATAATTGTTTTTTATGACGATGTGCAAACGAGTCAAATTTCCTGTGCGCAAAAATAAACTCGTGTAAAATAACAATAAACAGCGTAATAGAGAGATATCGCTAAACCAAATAGCGTGCATGGACGTTAATAAGGCAGGTGTTATTTCCTTTACGTGAGGTGCTATTAACTCTCTTCATTTATAGTTATCGGATCGGAAAGAATTCTGTTCGCGTCGCGTCCGCTATTTAAACTTAACCTAACTTTGAATTTAAAATTTTGAAATTGTTTTGTTTACTAGGTATTTTAAAACTAAAGGGCCGAAGTGCTTATTTCCAGTGCTTTACTGTTCAACATCTACTAGTGGGTTTAGGGCAACAAGCAACAAATTCTCTTAAAAGGGCTAAGTCGTCATCTGCTGTAAACCTAAGCCTCTTTATAGGTTCTTTAATATTGGAAGAGGTGGAATCCATATTTTGGGCCATATTTATTTAATTAAAACTAATCCCAGCTACTTAAATATCAAATTACCTAATAAAACTAAAGTAATAATTCAAAACAATTCAAACATAACCTAAAATAAAAGATCTCGCCGGCCGGCTCCGGTTGTCAAATACCCGCACATGGCTATTTAAGCAATTTTTAAACGTTATTTAGAAATAACGCTTGGTGTAATTGATCCGCAAATTACGTCAGGCCGTAACGTTATTATCGGGTGTTGCGTTAAAAATTGACTCGCGCATATCGTAACCATGATAAGGTACGCGTAAATCCTTGGCGTAAATACTGCATGACGCTATTCGGTTTCCCGATATCTCTCTAATAACTGTGCCGGTCAGGCGCTGTGCATAATTTTAGAGGCCATAAGTGGGCGTGCTATGTGCCCAAACTAGTAACCTAACTAGTGCCCGATTCCGAAAATTGGAACCACGAAAAACAATAAAGAAAAAACAAAGATTATAATCTGTATAATCTGTGGTAGTATGGTGGTATATATTGGTGGTATATATGGTAGTAGAATTTACAAGAAAGAAACCCAGAAAAGATCCACTGGTTCTCAAAATTTAAGAAAAAAATATATTTTTTTTAATTTTCATAGTTAAATAACTCGGTTATTTTGGACTTATTTGAAAAACGGTAAAGAAAAAATATGCTTCTTTTATCGAGATCTAATAGTCTTGAAAATCTTTGCACTTATTTAAGCCTCTGTATAGTTACTTACCTATGGAATTCGTGGTAACACTGATGATGCTATCATGCTGATGCGAATCTGAATCTTCCTGCGCAACGTTGCCACTTTTACCAAACAGTTTGTGCGCTTTGGCTTTTAATTCCCGAGGGTGTGGTGTATTTTGACGTACAAAAGGCGTCTGTCACAGGAAAAAAATACTTATAGGAATAAAGCGAATATTTTCAATTGAAATGTCCAGTTTTCTGTAGGTTTAAACCAAGTTAACGATAAAAACAGATCATGTATTCTTCAGAATTAGTAATTCTACATTTCATTTTATTTATAAAGTGGTTAATTTATCCCTACAACTGCCTTACGTCACATATGTGAAGATGTATAACTAAAAATCCTTTGTACCAAAATAGTTAAGACTGCAGATGATTTTAAATAAAACTACAAATGCGTTTAAAATGTCATTTTCATTTTAACTATGACTTTGTACCTTAGTTGATGTTTGCCTCTCTTACTCTTTTAGCTTTTTCTCTTTTTTATGAAAATCTAAGAGAATAGCCATAGTTTCTCTGCTCTAATATTTGAATCAATCAATAATCAATAAAATTTTAATATTAAATGGTTTTATAACACGAAATGAATTTGTCATTTTGCTTTACAGCTAAACTGTATTCTGTCATTTTTTGTATATATTTCTTGGCTCATTGGACAGATTATCGTTTTTTAGAAAATTACACAATGTTTCAGACAGATATGTATGAAACTTTGAAAAGTAATGCGGTGAATAATGGTGTTTCATTATTCACCGCTTCCGGGATATCTCGATTCAAACTCGACACATTGTGTGAACACAAAAATTACCATTAATGTAAATAAATAATTTGTGTTTTAATTAGTTAAAGCTAAATTAGTTAGCTACCTAGTTAAAGAAAATTTCATTGTTTTGTTTCCATGTTACTTACTCGTTATACTCATTCAAAATTTTTTTGACATTAAAAATAAAAACTTATATTATCTTAATTTTTTTGATAGTCCTGGAAAAAGTATAATATTCTACTCGCATATAATGGCTGTTATTCACTTGGATGATTTATGACACGAGCCGCAGCACAGTGCTTCGTCCCATAGACAAAAATCGAAAAAAAAAAGTTAAAATTTACTAATATCTGAATATGTAATTTTATACTTATAGCAATGTTCAACCATCCTGTATATTATTTTTCATAAACAGCAATTTTTGTTAGCAAATATTTTCACTAAAAATACATTTTGCGATCATTATCTTATCAGTGAAAAGAATATCATTCATAGTAGTTCTGTATATTATGGAGCTAAAGGGTACGTACTTAATTGAAAGCCACTATGGATATTGTTAAACAAGGTATGTACTTTAAATTTATTTCTAAACAAGTTCGTGATTGTTTAGTTTTTATTTATTTTTTAAGATGATTTGGTTGTAAACTTCAAAAACTTCGTTTTCAAACTTCAAAAAGGCATTTTAAAAAAAAACATATCAAAACATATCGTATTTATTGAATATTTTTGTTGTCATATTCATACACTTTTAATTTTTGTATAGTTCACCTGCGTCTACTTGACACGAACTTTATTTTATAATACTTTTCAGATGGAGGAAAATTGATAAGCAATGCCGATCTTGTTAATACTTGGCTTGATCATAAGGACAAGAACTCAAAATTATTTGTATTTCAAAAAATGTGTTCTTTATTAGATATTGATGAACCTTCCAGTCAAATGAGACACCACTTGTGCCTGAAAAAGCCCACTATGTTGGAGCGAAACGTCGCATAAAAAAATTTCCATCTTTCAATTTATTATAAAACCTCATACCCAAGAAAAGGAAAAAATAATATATCGATATGGTCTATTAAAGAAGTAACTATTAACATCCGAACCCCTCATACCAACAAAAAAGAACAGTAACAACGCGAAAAAGTAACATATTAGAAAATAATGTACAGAAATGACTTCTATGTGAGGATACTTCATCTACCTGTGATTTGGATACTATAAATTTGGAAGATTCTGTCAGCAGTGATTCTTCTGAATCAGAGTAGTTACGATCTATGCATTTTGTTGTCCTAAAGTAAATTTATAGTATTTTAAGTTTTTTTTTAATTAAATATAACATTAATGTTTCTTTTTCATTAAAGAAATACATTTTTATCTTATATTGGGCTTATATTGTAGGAATCATGTTCTAATGTTATTTTAATTCTTTTTTATCACAAAGATTTATTTAATACTTACACCCTTTTCATACTATAAATTATTTCCTTAGATGGAACACAGCTCCAACATTTTTATTATTTATAAGATTTATTTTCATAAACATGGGACTAAGAACATCATCATTTAGTACAATGAGAGTACTCATCATTTGTGTCAAATAAACCTAGTTTGAATAAATTGCCTACAATAAAAGAGTAGTTTTGCATTTTTGTCCTCTAGAGTCATATGTTCGAAGCACTGTGCGCAGGCGAGAACCATATAATTCACAACCTAAACCAAACCAAACTTCATCCGCGTGAATAACAGCCACCATTATATGCTCCTTGAATAATATACTATAGTATCATTAGTGAATCATGGATGACAAATAATTCAAAATTGATTTCCAGCCAACTAAAATAAGACAAAGTTGAAATAATTAAAATGAATTAATTTACTATAATGTACTTGATGGTGTCGAAATGATAAAAGAATGTTAGCTACCATAACCCATGGAAATAATTTTTTTGTTGGAAATATACACCACAACCAAAGTGTGCGAAGGAAAAATGGATAATACTTGCTCTTTCAACTTTAAATACTTCTATCATGCACAAAATACTTTACATGTCTATCACAGTAAAAACAGCAAGTATAGTCTTATAAAAAAAACAGCCATGCAAATAAATAATTTATTTAAAAAAAATATATGTACAAACAAAAAGGTGTTAAAATATATAAACTACATATAAATTTACTTAATGCTAGTGATTCGAAAGAAAAAATAAAAATAATACTAATAGACACAACATTTGTTTAACTACAAAAATAGACTTTGTGTTAGTTGTAATTAAGGTACTGATAAGCCTTGTTATAATAAAAATAAAGCAAATGAAAATATATTTACCACAACCATGTATGTAATAATGATCATGCACTACCTACAATGTGATATATTTTTCCAACAAAAAAATATGACAAATTTTAATAAAATGTGTAAAGTGCACTATAACTACATTCTAAAAAAATATGTTAACGTGTGCCTTTAAGGTTAAAATTTTTGGCAAAATAAGCGTAATTTTAATTTTAATCGACTAAATACTAAATACTGACTAATATACTGCGTTATTTTGGGATTTGAACTAAACAATACTGAGTATTTTTCAAAAGTAGGCTCACCCCTATAACTTATTTATTTTTTCAGATAAAAAAAACGAGATTTGGTATTTACAGTTTCGTTCACTTCCTATGTCACTGGGAATGACTACAACTTTTAATGGTACCCTTGGTAATTTTTTACTTTATTTGATAGAAAATGGCATTCTGAATAGAATGGCATATCATATGTCAACTTTTGACATTTTTGCTTAAAAAATAGTATTTTAAATATCAATCTCGAGTTCCACAGCCGTAATAATAGTTCAGTCATTGGGGATCAAAAAAGGGGCCTGCTTGGCTTTGGGGTCCCTAACTAAAATCCATAAAATGCACATTTCCAGACTTGCCGCCGGCGCCATATTTACAAAATCGGTATTTTGTAAATATCTCGAAAACTATGCGTTTTTCGCAGAAATTTGAGGAGAACAAAATTAAAGAAAATAAAATTTCCTATAAAAAAGGTTATTTGAAAATGTTTGCTAAAGTCAACCGTTTAGGCACAAAATCCCTAGAAATTTTACAATTTTGCGTAAAAGTCGATTAGTGTTCACTAAAACTAGTTTTAGTTTAGTTTCTTCAATTTTGCCATGAAACAGCGGCGTATCATTAATTCGCTCATTAATTTATGAATAATTAATTGTCGTGCTGGACAGCATTCATTGCGAACTTACCACCAGGTTCAGCAGTGGTCTGGTTGTACCAAAGATGCCGAAGAATGGGGTTGGAAGAAAACAAAAACAGGCATTACTCCAGTCACAACGTTGAAAGATCCAACTCCAAAATCCCTATTGGCATTTTTATCCTGTAAATGCAAAACCAGCAATTATGGTAAAGCCTGCGGATGCAGAAAAGCAGGATTAAAATATTCAATGATTTGTGCATACTGCAATGGGAAATCCTGTGACAACGTCACTGAAGTGTCACTCGACGAATCCGATGAAGAGGAGTTGGACTTGCCTGTAGATATCCCTCTGGCGGCTGAAGATGAAGAGTTGGACGTATTGAGAGACCACCCTGATGAGCCCAGCACAGCAGACACGATCGACTTTGACATCAATGAGCCAGATCCGTCGGGCTTGTGCAGATAAGTTTTTAATTTATATAGTGGAGTAGGCCTCCATTAAATGAAAGAATTAACGTATAAAAACGTTTAAATTAACGCGCCATGTACTTTACCTCTTGGGTGGGGTGGTAACAAGTACACATTTTCAATAATTAAAATTAATTATTTATAAAATTAATGATACGCCACTGTTTTATGACAAAATTGAAGAAACTAAACTAAAACTAGTTTTAGTGAACCCTAATCGACATTTGATTTCGGAAAATCGACTATACATAATATATCATATTTTACGCAAAATTGTGCCTAAACGGTTGACTTTAGCGAAAATTTTTATAAAACCTTTTTTATAGGAAATTTTATTCTCTTTTTCAAACTTCAAAAAGGCATTTAAAAAAAACATATCAAAACATATCGTATTTATTGAATATTTTTGTCGTCATATTCATACACTTTTAATTTTTGTATAGTTCACCTGCGTCTGCTTGACACGAACTTTATTTTATAATACTTTTCAGATGGAGGAAAATTGATAAGCAATGCCGATCTTGTTAATACTTGGCTTGATCATAAGGACAAGAACTCAAAATTATTTGTATTTCAAAAAATGTGTTCTTTATTAGATATTGATGAACCTTCCAGTCAAATGAGACACCACTTGTGCCTGAAAAAGCCCACTATGTTGGAGCGAAACGTCGCATAAAAAAATTTCCATCTTTCAATTTATTATAAAA